GGGCCGGGAGAGGGAGGGGAGTAAGCGAGCATCAGTGAGAAACAAATGTAACTGAAAACCTAATTTTCATTCAGTTCAGCTAGGAAAAAAACAAAAAGACAAATGAAAAAGAGGAGCAAGGTTATATTCACGTGTCTATTTGCAAGCTAATTTTAACAAAACCGGTTGAAAACAGGTCAAAATTTAATTAAATTTCAGTGCTCAGGGTCATGGAACGAATCTAGCTAGCAGCATGTACTTTGAAAATGCATGTGGGAAACAATCAATATTGACATTTATTGATAACGATCTCTTGTCCTGAAAAAAAAAACTGACCAAAGAACTACTAAGTRTGGCGACAGGTTCAGTGATGGTTGAATACTGGCACTGAACATTTTCCTACTGGACATACATATATATTTATTTCCCTACTGTATTGTGATATTTCGATCTTGTGTTGTTATCGAGTTCTTTGTTCATCGTATTGAATAGCCTATAGTTTTTACCATTTCCGGAAAGAAAAATGAGGMATGCATTTTTCATTTGACCGAGGCCTAACAGTGACTGCGGAGCGGTGAAATATGTGGGGAGGGCGGTGAGCGCCATTTTAATTTTATAGGGGGGTCCGGAGGCATGCGAAGTTGACTCTTTTTTAACGTTAAAATGTTTCCAGCTTGATACCGTCACAGTATAGTCCAGCTCTGATCATCATTTTTTTGTATTTTTTAATCTTACCGATTCCATTTATTATTAATTTCAGTTCGGAAGCAAAAAGTGGGGGAAGGCGCGCGAAGTGCGTGAAAACTGTCGCTCCTAATGCAGGTGAGCTCAAAATAATTATTTTGCCAATTTGGACGCTACAAGCTTTAATTTGATTCCTCCAAAATTAAATTCAGGGAACTTAACCATGGAATATCCCTAATATATCTTTTGCTTTTTCAAGCCAACATTTACTTCTGTAGCACTTCATTTATTTTTCATTGCCATTTTATTTTTTTGTTTTTTGCTATTTTCTCAGTTTGGGCTATGAATAATTAATGACTGAAAGTTGCAATTGAAAATAAAAGAAACAATTCTGACTATAAATGACATTTAACAATCAGACGTTGTCATAGCAACCCCACTGAGTCCTTATTTATCGTTTTAGCGAAAACTTCAGGTAGTTTTACAAGATTGSCTMAAAAARTCTGAAGGTTYCCCTAGGAAGACTGTTTCAGAAGAGATATGTTTTTCACACCACTGTTTTGAGGTAATAATATTTAGCTTTTAGATTGCGTGTAGCATATATTTAACCATTAAGATTTTCGCTTTTGAGAACTGCTTCAGTTGCTCTATGTGATTTTGCTCCGTCCGAACCTTTTACCTATTAAGTATCCTTGCAGTTTTCAAAACATATAGTAAATTTTGTTTCCTTGTATGGATGGAAACAAAAGAGAATTCTAAGTGACAGGTCTAGTGTTAATTTTTTCTCTCAGTGAACATCTGGTAATTATTTTTTCTTGGCATTTGTAGTATTTGTCAATTAACATTACGTATGGAAATCTCTCAAGGCTTATGTAGAGTATTCCTGAAATTTAGGTTAGCAAAATATAAATTGAGGAACTGAAGACAGTGATATATTCAGAACATTCCGGTTAGTCCCAGCTTCTAACAGTGCCTTTTGACTGAAGTTTTTAGATTACTCGACGTTTCTATTGACCGAGATATGTCGGTCTGTCTTGTTTAAGTGSACTTTTCTTACAATATAAAAACTCAGCTAGAATCCAACAAATAGAAATTATTAATAGGGTTGGTATTTCAACTGACTTTYTAATAATGTTTTGAACCATGAAAATATTGTTTTTCGTGCGTGTACTAAAAACAGGTGAAAATTGTCATTATGCAACCTAAAAATTCATTTTATTTAGMTACTATAGATAAACTATTCCCATTTTTTTCTGAAATCGCATTTAGGAAAGCTAGAAATTTTTCCTTGCTTATACATGAATAATTCCCCAGAAGTGGTTAATGATAATAATGAGGTACGCAGCATATAATAAAATTGTTATGATTTCAGTTGCTGGTGCTACAACTGTCGACGTACAACTGCTCCGAGATAAGATTTTCTTTTGATAGATCAACTAGATGGTTGTAGGTTGGTCTATTCATAATGATTTTTAGGTTAAAGTAACGTTTAAATCATTAAGATTTTCTTTTTTTTCTTTCTTAGTATGCTGGAGGATTAAAAGCAATATCGGCAGTTCAATTCAAGGTAATGAGATAGCATAGTCACAGACTTGGAGACTGTGAAATTGAGTTGATTGTTGTTRATGACGAGCCGTTCTGTCAAAATGTCAATTTACTTTGATATTGTTAGTTTGAAATAACAGAATATATTTTTAAATTCAGATATGCATGCGTTATCCATAAAGTCTTCATTTCACTTCCCTTTTACTCAGTGTATATTGTGCATCCTTGCAAATAGTCAGCGGTCAGCGGTTGTAGGAATAACGTTTTTTAAAATGACTTTTCAATGGAAGACAGTGTTCTTTTATGTGTTCATAGATTCGCAATTGCAGATTGGAATTCGCGAAACAGGTGGCTTGAAAAAAAAACGTATACTGCCTGAAGAATTTTGCGTTACGTGACAAGTTGCATCACACCACTACGATGCTGATGTGACCTAACATAAGTTATACGTTGTGAAAATGAAATAGCTACTCGCAGCACTCACTTTCTATTAGAAATGACTAGTATAAAATATTGTATTACATAGTTTTAAGAGATTCATAAATTGGATATTATCCTTAGCTGTAATGGTGATAGCATATCGAGAATCTWTATTCCAATTTTAAAACATCAGTTAGTATGAGGATCATCGGTGCGTCCCCGGTAAGCCTCTTGAAACTGAGAAACCACCCTCCATAAGCAGCATGAGTATGGTGTGCAGCCTCCATAGCGAATAGTAGCTGCCACACTCGCTCTGCGAATGGCTGCGATGACGTTGCTCGTCGTTGTTATTGCTGCATTCTTCTTTCAATAAATGTAAATGCTTTTTTTTTGTTTGTTTGTTTGCTTTTTTATTTTGTGTGTTTGTTTGTTCAAATTCAGATTGAAGCACATGAAGCGTTGATGCTGTGAACCACTCAAAGGAATTCTAAGCATGTTGCTAGTAATTATCMTTGGGATGGGCATTTTGCCTCGAATCAGTCATCAAACTAACAAACTGGATTTAAATGTTGGTATGTAATAATCTGATTGCCTGCCATTATATGACGTCATCTTCATAGTCAATAAATTCATGACAAAACCCGAACTCTGTCCCACACGAAATCTTTAATGCAATCCTTAAATCAATCAAAACATGAGAAAAAAGAACTGGCATATCAATATTGATYTCAAAACACTGGAAGCAACAACAACTAGTTATATTCTAAACAAACCTCGCCTTACAAACCACCCTAACCACATCCATCATGACTTCCATCAATTAGTGTTGTCATCATTGCCRACACAAATAAATACGATATCAAAAAAGGTGTTTAAAATCAATTCATAACCTACTATCATTTGATCAACATCATTATTGATATATATTTACTTTCTTTATAGAGCTTCTTGGTCACGTGACTAAGGAATCAATGACAGCTATCATGTATGCTGYAAACAAAACTACATCAAGCACCTTACTCAACATTAAAATTCGACAGATATTTGTGGATATAGGACAAAGCAATCTTTTCGAATATGGTAGGAAATCGCTAGTGGTTATTATTATCGTAATATTAATTGTTAATCATTAATAGCATAATTAACAATTAGAACGCGAGCTCAAGTGGAGTATATACGAGACTATTAGCATTAACGAGACCAAGTGGTTTAATTGTACTTTTATAGTATCCATAAAACTAGCGGGAAAGAAGAGAATGAAGAACAATTTACCTTGAAATTATTTCGACTGTTTCAGAGTCATCAGTGGCAGATCCAGGGCTAGAAAACGGGGTCAACTGTACTCAAACGAATCGCACTCACATATTAAATAAAAGCAGAGAAGTGGAAAACCTAAACCCCGTTCTGAAAAATGCTAGATCCGCCACTGTGATTGTCTATCATGAATAGACCATAGTTCAGTAGCCAATCAGAATGCTGGATTTATGATAGCCCATAGTTTAGTGGATAAAAATGTTGCTAATATTGAAGTTAATAGAACGCAAAACATGATTTGAT